TACCAGGCAATGGGAATTTTATAGGAACCATCGGCATGGGTGTTGGCCTGAGCATGCCACACTTGTCACCCTGATAGATCCCTGTGGGTTTCAATCAATGCCAGGTCTATTTTGAAACCTCATCACAGCATGGAACACATCCTGTGTTCCCTGTATGTCATATCTCCTCGCTTCTGAATGTCTCTTGCTCTTCATCGCTCATCTGTCTTGAGTAAGTTTGGTTTTTGGCACTGTCAATCATAAATGGTACCCACATTATGCAATTATTTGATGTGAAGGCAGCGCACTGGAGGAAGTGCCCCCTCTGGTGCCTGTCCCTGCCTGTGTGTCCGAAGGCTCCCCTTCGGCTTCCTCCCAGGGTTACTCCCTTCCCCATGAGATCATGTGCTCTCCAAGCTGAGTGGCCTTGCATGGCCTCCCCAAGGTCCTTCCGAGAACCTCGATTTCCTCTGCTGTGGAACAATTCCAACCTCCCTTTTGTGGCTGCAGATGCAGAGAGGATAAGGGGGTACAGGCAATGGAGCTGGTAAACAGTGACATCCTATATGAATTTGAGGTCACTCCTTATCACCAGGCAGCCAGTGGGGCCTAAGTGGGCCTCTCCTCCCTTTATCTGCTCTCAGATGTGTCATCTCTGCTGCTGCAAGGAGGAAAATAGCTGGGCCAACACGATCGTGTTTTGGAATGGGAGAATGGAGAGTGGGCATTCTCAGACTCCTGAAACTTTCTTCTACGTATAACTTGATGCATTTTTACCAATGTGTATGCCCAAGCAACCACCACCCAGAGCAAGATGTGGAATACTTCTGTAACCCCAGGAAGTGCCCCCATCCCACTCCTGCCCAGCCACCACCCCCAGCCCCTCATTTCTAACACAGTAGATTAGTTTTGCAAGTTCTAGAACTTCACATAAAAGAAATCATACAGTACATAGCCTTTTTTCTGGTTTCTTTAATTCAACATAATGGTTTTGGTGGGACGGTTGTTGTTGTTGCTGTTGTTGTTTTGAGATGGGACCTTGCTCTGTTGCTCAGGCTGGAGTGCAGTGGCATGATCACAGCTCACTGCAGCCTCAACCTCCTGTGCTCAAGCAATCCTCCCACCTCAGCCTCCCCAGTAGCTGAGACTATAGGCATGCACCACCATAACCAGCTAATTTCTGTATTTTTTGTGGAGATGGGGTTTTGCCAAGTTGCCCAGGCTGGTCTTGAACTCCTGGGCTCAAGCAATCCCCCTGCCTTGGCCTCCCAAAGTGCTGGGAGTACAAGAGCCATCATACCCTGCCAACATAACGTTTTTGAGATTAATCCATGTTGTTGCAAATTATCTGTTCCTTTTATTTATTGCTATATAGTATTCCACTGTATGAGTGCACTGCATTTTATCCATTCTACTGTTGATGGACATCTGGGCAGTTTCCAGTTTTTAGCTATTAGGAACTATGTTGCTGTGGACATGTTGGTATATATGTTTGGTGAGCATCTGCATGCCTTTCTCTTGGGTGTATACGCAGGAGTGGGAATGCTGGCAAGCACGTGGCCAGTTTTAGCTGACTCTGCCACAGTCTCCCAGTGTGGTCATACCACAACCACTCTCTCCAGCAATGGCCTTAAGCTTTTTTGATGGCACCAGCCTCTTCTTTTCATCATACAATAAATAGAAAGAGCCTACACCACACGGTCAGACAGACTTCAGCTCATGTCTCAGCACCACTGAGCAACCTTGGGTAAGTTACTTAACTTTTCTGAGGTTTCATTTGCCCACGGGAATAAACTGCCCTCCCAAGACTGAGTTGGCATCACTGTCAAATCAGTATCACATCCACATGGCCTCATGCCAGGCAATCCGTACTAAGTGAATATTCTCTCCGTCCCTCTTACCCACCTGTGAAATTCCCGGAGGTGCAGTCACCAAGTAAACATTTCTAGCCCTTTCACCCCCATGGGGTCCTTTAAAATTCCTCTGCCTGTACACTGAGAATCTATTTATCACTTTCTTCCCTGATACTTATGTGATGGGGCTGCTTGTCTCCATCCCACTGCATTGGGTGGGGAAGTCCATCAACTGAGGACTGAGAAGCAGACTGTGAGTTATGGAAGGTAACAGGTGACAGAAGGTGGCTTCCCATAAAGTGACCCTGGGCCAGGAAGGAGACAGACATGCTTTGCCCAAAGTGAGGTTCAAATTTACATTGTCTGTTTATGTACTGTTATGGGAAGATATCCAAATATATATATGGAAAGATGTCATAAATATATGAGAGACAAATTTGCTCTTGTTGCCCCGGCTGAAGTGCAATGGTACAATCTTGGCTCACTGCAACCTCCACCTCCTGGGTTCAAGTGATTCTCCTAGCCTTCCAAACAGCTGGGATTACAGGCATGCACCACCACATCCAGCTAATTTTTTATACTTTCAGTAGAGACAGAGTTTCACCATGTTGGCCAGGCTAGTCTCGAACTCCTGACCTCAGGTGACCCACCCGCCTCAGCCTCCTAAAGTGCTAGGATTACAGATGTGAGCACCGCACCTGGCTTACAAGATATATTGTTAACTAAACCAAGCAAAATGCAGGGCAGGATGAATACTTTGGCACTTTGGTATAAAAAGAAGGCAGAAGTGTTTTTATACTGACTTACCTCTAGGAATGGATACTCACAGGGCTGTGGGAGAGGCAACAGTGACTGGGGACAGTATGAGAACATTTCAGTGTATCCATGTGTACAGCTTTTGGGCTTAAACTACATGAACAGATCCTCTATTCATAAAATTTTTCACATATAGGCTGGACGTGGTGGCTCACACCTGTAATCCCAGCACGTTGGGAGTCCAAGGCAGGGGGATCACCTGAGGTCAGGAGTTTGGACCAGCCTGGCCAACACAGCGAAACCCCATCTCCACTAAAAATAGAAAAATTAGCCAGGCGTGGGTACATGCCTATAAGCCCAGCTACTTGGAAGGCTGAGGCAGGAGAATTGCTTGAGCCTGGGAGGTGGAGGTTGCAGTAAGCTGGGATTGTACCACTGCACTTCAGCCTGGGCAACTGAGACTCCATCTCAAAAAAAAAAAAAAATTGTATATATACTTAGAAATTTTTCAGCTATGCCAGCAGGTGGGTATGAATCCCTTGATTTAAGCTTCATGAAGATTTCTGGCGGATCAACCCTGGCAGAGCAAAATGCCTGTGAGGTATCTGCACATAGGTGTGTGTGTGTAAGTGGATGCAGGTAAGCATGTGTGTAGGTGTGTCTGTGTGTTAGACATCTCCATCACAACCTACCAGCCTGCGCAAAATAACAAGGTCCTGTCTCTACAAAAAAATAAAAATAAAAATTAGCCAGGCATAGTGCCTGCAGTCTCAGCTACTCCTGAGGAAGGAGGATCATTTAAGTCCAAGAGTCTGAGGCTACAGTGAGTCATGATTGCACCACTGTACTCCAGCCTGGCAACAGAGTGAGAGGCTATCTCAATCAATGAATCACTCACCTGGGAGAAGGAAGGGGATGTCGTGTCCTATCAAAGGCAGGGCGCTAAATGTCCATGGCGGGGACCTGATAGAGTTAGACCAGAGGGGCTCACATGGCTTCTCATAACTTCTCCCTGTCATCTCACCCCTTCAATTCTATAGAATTCAAATTTTGCCACTAGAAATCCAGGATAACAAAATGACTAACTGTTCCTTAAGGTAACTGGGGACAGTGTGAATGGGGACATTTCAGTGTATCCTTACAGAGCTTTTAGGCTTAAACCACATGGACAGATCCATGTGGATCTGAATTCAAATTTCATCACTAGAAATCTGGAGTAACAAGATGCTGGTCCTTAAGGTTCTCTGTGTGTGTGTGTGTGTGTGTGTGTGTGTGTGTGTGTGTGTGTGT